CTTGTTCATATACGTTCTTGGCAGATGCTCCAGAAGTGGTTTGCCATTGCCTTCTTCTGTGTGTGAATGGAGTAATTGTTGGGATGCCACGGAGAAACCGGGGAAGCCCCCGGAGGAAAACTCCGTGTTGCCTAGACCACGGCCTTGCCCAACACAAGTTATAAATTCGGGCACCGCCGGGAATCGAACCCGAGACCCCACGATTACAAGGCCAGCATTTCTGAGGTACGTGTTTTAATTAAAATATTTCTCTACGGTCAGATTTAAACACAGAACCTTTAAATGAGAATGCCAATGTATAACAAATCGCCGAAAAATAAAATAAATACGTGCTTACGTCTACTTATATCCTCGTTAACAAAAAACTATTGAACTGCATGGACCTTCCTCATGGTCTTCGCATTAACGCTACCATCCTGAGCTTATGACCCCAACACAGACATCCAAGCAAAGTACACACAGTGTTCGCCTTCGTTTTTGATATCGAAACTCCTGACACGGCTTCGAAAAGCCATTACATGCACGCATACACACACGAGCGAGCACATATTTTATGGATCCAAAATTTAGTCAGACAGACTGCTGAATATGGAATAAACCCTAAGGTACAAAATATACAGTTGAGTGAATTTTGAAATACTAATAAAGTTTCACGAAAAATAAATGTTTAGCATTAAAATGTTAAAACGTAACAGTAAATTCAATACTACATAGAATTTCTCAGTACATAGCGTCTAAAAGAATCGTGAGTCGTATTTAAGCTGCAGAATTTCTTCAATAAATTAAAATTCTGTGTATTGAGATATATTTTTATATAGTTAAAACGTTCACTTTTCATTCAAAATACTTCTAAGACTAGAGGCTGTTGAAAATGTTAACGCGAGCATACTGAAACCCTCTTTGAAACGTTGGCAAATAGTCTATGAAGATGGTTCTTATTCCATCTGTTAACACTGCAGTTAAATTAGTCTGAAAATGTTCTGGGTTATTTATTATGAAATTAATTAATGAAAATAAACCGTCGGAAAGAAGATAAAATTTCTAGTTCCTTAAATAGGCTTCTACACAAATTTCTTGGTTTGGCACCAGCCAATATTCTAATGATATTGTTTGGTATGGTAAATTTTCTTTTACAGTCAGATGAATTACCATAAAAATTACCTCGAATATTGCATTTTTAGTGGACAACTCTTTCCAAGAGCCAAGTTATTCATCTAGTCTATAAATTTCTTAAAATCACTTAAGATGGCTTTCAACAAGTTTAGTATACTTTGGACAGATGCTTTTGTTAAAAGTTGAATTGCAAATTAAGCAGATATATTGGTATATTTGTTTAACAGACATCAGGCATAAAAAATTGTAATTAGTAGCAGATAGATAAAAACAACTTGAGAACAAAACACAGAGATTACAATTGATAGGAATTCTGATGCCAGGTTTATGTTTACGTCACTTCTGGTTTGGTACTTAAATGAAAATATTTTTCAAAATCCTGATAGTCCTATGTGATATAGTATAGGACCACAGCACGAACACAATTTATGTAAGCAAACATCTTTTTAATGTCAACTACTTAAGTGCATTTGCCCTCAGTTGTTAAGACATCCTGCGATGATGATGACGATGTAGACAATATCACTGTATTTTTAATAAATAAAAATATCATTATCAATGGCACAAGTGTCAGAATTCCAGAAATAAGGTAATAAAATGTAAAAAAATATAATAATAAAAATAACAATTTGGATTCACTAATTTATTATGTTCAAGGTCAACGGGCCATGCATAAGTACAGGAGCAACTTATACACGCTGACATACGATGCAAATTTTGTGCTGATACGTTTAATCTTTGTTATAAATGTAGCAAGTTTTCTCAGGCATTCAATAATTACTTCCAAACAGAAGAAAATTTGTTAATTAAATAACGAAATGTAAATAAGATACATTACAATGCAACTTTGAAGTATGATAAATATTTACATCGGGTAAGTTGGATTAATTAGTGTTAGGTTAGGTTAGTAAATGTAAACAACACCAAAACTCAGTGACAGAGGGTTTGGAGGGCTTAGATAGGGCAGAATAATTATATCGTTGATGTCCTGTAAATATGCTTAAACCCAAAATTTAGATGCGTTTAAATGGTAACCTTGTTAAAAAGTAGTTCCTGTAACAGTCTGATTCCAAAAAGGAAATATTCAATTCAATTCAATTAATTTATTTACGTGTTTGCCAACAGCAATAAGCCAATAACAGGCAAACACTGATAATACATACAATAATAATGAAATAATAAAGAAAAATACTATAAAAAGAGATTAATTAAATTTATACATGTACAGTATTAAATATAACTGCCAAGTACAGGCAAACCCAAAATAGAAACAATATTAACACAAAGCAAAATAAATGAAGAAATATAAATAAAAACAAATAATCCACCTAGGGAACACTAATATAATTGTAAAACGTTAAACAAATATAAAAAACAGATAACGAAGCTAGATCATGTATCAAGACGACCTATCTAGATCTTTTCCCTTATTGAGAACGTGTCCTCAAGGGAGACAATGTTTATGCTAAATACGTCCAAAGATTTACATACGTCATTTGCAGCAATGACTTTAACCCTAATTATTTCACGTCCTGACTGAAAGTTTCAAATTATATTGGCGTGTGTCCTAGGACAATTAATTTTACGACGTTGTATACCGAGCTCGGTTGAACACTTCTCAGTAACATTACCTTGTTTTGGTGAGTCAGTGCCCCTGCGATCCTGCTGAGGCCTGATAACACGCCACAGTTTCATAACCGTCTGCAGCCACCACGAAAGACGTTTCCAAGACAACAGTGCATCAACAGTAGGAGCTTCGTGTCTGGTAGAAGCCAATGGCGAATGGGATCTTGCGCGCATCCCAACATCAAGCAAGTTGTGTGCTAATGGACTGAACTGAGTTGAACGCTGTCGGTAATAACATTTCGATAAGTTTGATCGATATTAGATGCTACTATATTAAATGTCGAGGCAAATAAATACTTCACCAACCTATTTTTCACTTTCAGTACACGTGAATAGTTTCATTTGTAAATAACAAACGAGTGTTGACAGTTTCAGACATCCGTTATAATGAATAATATCACAGTCGATTATTGTAAAGGTATTAACGAATGAAATTTGAGAATCCTTCTTTATTAATGTTGTTGTTGTTGTCACAGAAATCTTCGACAGAGAAAATCACAAATACTACAATGAGATCGATCTACCACTGAACACAGGCGATTCTACAAACTCAAAGACATTTTTCACTCCACAAAGGTCAGATGCACATTTAACATTCTTGTGATATAACTTGTTCACTCAAGAGCGTTGCAACACTGCAGCAGCGCACGGAACGACACTGGCAATGACGCGGAACCCTTCTTGCCTGACTTACACACCACGAGGGCAGACAATATTCTCGTTCAAGGGCCCCCGTCTTCCTGTTTTACGATAATGAAACGTTCTTTATCCATACACTGAAAAAAACACGACTTGCTACTCTCGCTATTGAATTGTTATTTCATTTCACGATACTTTTGAATCGCATTGGAACTTCTTACTGTAGGGTAATCGTGAAAGGGGGTGCCTTAAGGTACAATTTGGCTGCACGCGACAGAGACAAGCGAC